TAATCCAAGTCTAGAAGCGTTGAAAGCAAATCAATTGAGGATTATAAGATTAATAGAAAATATCAATCGAAAAATATATTATGATGATATCATACAAAGGATTGAAGAATTGAGAACTAAGATTCCATCACAACAAAAGTCCTAAAAGATCTGTTAGAATATAACTTAAACAATGTCTCAGAAAACTTTCTTCACTTCTCTTAAAGTTGAAACTTAGCAAACCAATAATGGCACATGGAAGAATGCTTATAGATGGTAAATGTGGTTTAAGAAATTCACTTTCAATATTAAGCATATTGCAGGAGAAAAGAATTGCTTACCAGATGCCTTTACAAGAGAAATGCTAACCTCCTTATATTATCAGAGTACTAATCCTATACCTTGTTATATGCTTCAGATGAATAAAGGAAAAAAGATCCTGAGAGATGATAAACAGACGGGAAATCTGATAGTCCTAAGAGACAAAAAACAGACATATAATGCAAGGATCAAAGAGAAATGTCGCTTAGAGCGAAATCTCCTGAGAGAGCATAAACAGAAAAATACACTCCCGAAAGAGTTTAAACAGAAACATTATGCTGACAATCTTGGTATTTTCTATCAAAAACTTCCGAAAGATTTGCAGGAACGCGTCAGAAGAATCTTAAATCTTTTCGAGCTCAAATGGAATTGGGAAAATATTCAGAAAAAGTCCCCTACTTTCTATGGGTATCACAAAGACGACCTCGACAATGTTCCCAAGCTAATCATCCAAGGCTGCAACAAGAAGAATCAACTTAAAAGTTTCATTAACCAAGGCCTTGTAAAATACTACTACAATGTTCATCATAATCACATAAGGTGTTTTCCAAGTGGAGTTCAAGACTGTCTTAAAAGTTTCAAGTTTCCGCTACTCATATATATCACTGCAGAAGTGCCGAACATAACTCAAATACGTATGGATGCTGCGAGAGTCAAACTGTTCGTCAACGAAGAAAACACCATTGAACCGTACCATCGTTGGACTGGAAGTAATCATTTTGAAAAAGATTATGAAGAATTAAAAGAAGCTAATTTCCAAAAGTTACAAGGCGAAATGAATGCATTAAACATGTTGACAGATATTACTGGAATACAAATTGGAAGATGGACAGTAACTTGGCGTGAAAAAGATGAAAAGCTGCCAGAAGAAATTAAAGATCAAATCTATATCCTTAATACGGAATCAAAAGAAAAAAAAGAACAATTCTTGAATATTAGGAGAGCAAAAGCGAAGCATTCTTAAGCTGTGAGGAATTACTAGATGCAAGATGCGAGAGCTTAAACTCGACAATTAGCTTTAGCTATATGTAGCCTTAGAGTTTGTGTGTATGTAACTCTGCTATCAAAATGTTCTCAGCTTTTCCTTTAGTTCTAAAGGAAATGTTGACGACTCTCTTGTATTGTCTTTTATAATATTTCGAATAAAAGTGTGATTGTTTGTTTGCCTGTATCTCTTTGTTTGCCTATATGTCTTTTATTTACCATTTTAAACTCAACGAAAAGAACTTTTTCATAACCAAATGTTGGTATACTCTTTTGTAAAGGATGTATACAACAAAGGTCCTTAATATCATCTATTGAAAAAAGTCCTCGGTAAGGCAAAAGTCCTTACAATGTTCTTTCACGCTTACAAAAAATATAGAACAGCTAGGAGTCCTTACCTTGAAACCTAGAAATAGTAAGTTCTAGAAATTTGTGGCAGATAGAACTCTCAGAAGACTATAAAGTTAATTAGAGTACATTTAAGTTAATTGAGAGCTCTATTCATCAACTTTTTATATGCTAGATGCAATTTTAAAGATATATAGTCTTGATATTTATCACACATAACACAAACATCAAAGCAAATCCAATGGTTAAAAAGTTGGTGGACCCTCAATTTACT